TCCTGAAGCTTCTTATGTTGACTTCTTTCCTTACGTTGTTGCTAGGTGCCCTCAAGTCATTTTCAACTCACAGTGAGCCCACGTGACAAAGGAGAACTCCTGCATAGGGCTTTCTTGGCTGTCATCTATATGGAAGCAGATCGACAGGTCTTTCCCCCAGACAGTTATTGGATGGGTTCAAACTGCCAGCCTTTCAGTTAACAGCCAGATGCTTAACCATTTGCTCCACACTTTCTTTCCTTATAGGCTTTGTTTATTTGCACTATATACTGCTTATTGCCTTTAAAAGATATTCGTTATTATTTGAAGGATAGGATAAATGTGTATTCCTTCAGAGAAGATATGGGTTTGTTCTTCCAGGTACCTAGACACTACCAACGGGCAGGACTACTCCAAGTGATAAATTTCTTGTTGCTTTTTGGAAACACCTGTGATGTAAATTTGATCTATAAATATATTGAAACTCCAGAGTCACCATGTCTTATAGATGCTTTTATCACCACCTTGCTATGCTCAGAACCAAAACAATTTTACTTGGTGGTGTTGTTTACTTGCCATCAGTTGGGCTGCAACTCATAGCAACCTTACGTACAACAGTACAAAACATGGCCTGGTCCTGCATCATCCTCACAATTGTTGGTATGTTTGAGCCCATTATTGCAGCCACTGTGTCAGTCCATCTCACTGACATCTCCCTCTTTTTTTTGCTGACCTTCTAGTTTACCAAACACGATGTCCTTCTCCAGCAATAGGTCTCTCCTGATGACCAGTGTAATGTAAGCAAGACTTGGCGTGAAAGACAGTAAAAGAGTGGGAGGAGTAGGGTCTGGTTTGCCCTTATTTTGAGAGTATCGTTCCTTTGGCCCAGCTTTATTCCAGAGTGACTCTTTATTTAGCCTTCTTACATTAGATAGGTTCTTGGTTATGTCTTCTGTCCCATATGCCATAAGTCCTCAAAACCTTATCTCAGTTTCACCAGCATCAACGAATGCCCTCGGGAAAAATGGCTTCAGTAATCTGCCTTCTCTCTGGATTCCAGCTATCGATTTAGACCTGGTAATTGCTTTGTATCATGTCATCTCTACATAGTTTTTAAGGAGAAGCTTCTTTTGGGTGATATCCAGTATTTTTTTGTTTAAAAGAAAGATTGGTTTTAATGGCCTAAACGATCATGTTTCCAAAAAAGGAAATGTTAAAATATTTTCTAATTTCTAATGTCATTTCTTCTTTGACTAGTTGGTTATTTAGACTTTATATTTCTTATTTCCCTAAGACAGAGGGAGTTTTAGTTATCTAATATACATGCTGTGCAATGCCCCCCAGAAGAACGAAGGACTCATTTTCCCAGCTTCTGGGATTGTCAGCTGCTGACTCTTATCTTACAGCCCTCTCCTGTATATGCCTCTGCTGAAGAATGTTGCTATGATCAAGGTCACTCTGCGTTTTCCAGGTATCCCACATCCAGTGACTGGACTATGCAAGGTATAAAGACCCAGCTACCTTGGGATAACCTGGAACAACTCTGAAGGACCATCTCAACTTCAAAGTTCTCTCTGAGGTTAGCTGAGGCCTTTTGTTATGTCTGCAGCACAGCCAAACTTTTCTCTCTGCCCTTTCCTGCTTCCGCCACTTGCCTCTGTGGTGTGGATCCCAAAGGCACTCTCTAATACACTTTCTCCACACTCATTTCTATCCCAGAATTTATTATGTAGGGAGCCCAACCTGCAACATTATCTTTTTGCAAATGATTTTTACTTAATTGCATCCTTCTCAGAGACTGTACTCTGTATGATTTTAGCCCTTTAAAATCAACAGAAACATGCTTTATGGGCCATTTTATTGCCAATTTTTATAATATTCCTTGTGTTGTTGAAAATAACATATATGCTAAAGTTATTGGTTGTAGTTTTTTTTTAAGTCTATCACATCAAAGTTGCTAATTGTGCTGTTTGTATCTCTGTCCTCACTGATTTGTTTTTGCTCTGTTTGCTCTATCAATTACTGAGAAAGATATGTTAAAATCTCTCACTCTGATTGTAGATGTGTCTAATTATTCCTTGTAGTTTTGCTAATATGTGTCATATATATCTGAGGATATGTAATTATATAAATTTAAATGCATATTGTGCCTATAAATTTAAAACTGTTATATCTTCATGGTGAATTAAACATTTTGTCATTGTGATGGGATTCTTGCTATTTCTGGTAATAACGTTTGCCTTAAAGTCTATTTTGTCTGAGATTAATATACCTACTCTAGCTTTATTTTGATTATTATCCGTATAGTATATTTTTTCTATTCTTCTGTCTTAAAGATGTATGTATTCTTACAGGTTAAATGTGTCTCATAGATAGGGAACAGTTGTTGTGGATTTTTTTTTATCAAGTCTGAAAATCTTGTCTTAAATGGATCATTCAGTTTATTTGCATTTAATGTAATCACTAATATATTTAGTTTTATATTTATCTCATATTTTTTATTTGTCTCATTTGTTCCATGCTTCTATTTTTCTCATGTCTTGCCTTCTTTTGGATTGAAAATGCTTTCTCATTTCTTTAGTTTTCCCTCTACTAGAATGCTATGGAGTGAATTGTGTCCCCCAGAAATATCTGTCAACTTGGCTAGGCCATGATTCCCAGTATTGTGTGGTTGTTCTCCATTTTGTGATCTGATGTAATTATCCTAAACCCTTTCATGTTAATGAGGCAGGATTAGAGGCAGTTATGTTACTGAGGCAGGACACAATCTACAGGATTAGGTTGTATCTTGAGTCAATCTCTTTTAAGATATAAAAGAGGAGAGAGAGGGAAGGACCTCATTACCACCACGAAGAAAAGCCAGGAGTGGAGCGCATCCTTTGGACCTGGGGTCCTTGCTCTGAAAAGTTCCTAGACACAGGGGAAGATTGATGACAAGGACCTTCCCCCACTGTTGACACAGACAGAAAGCATTCCCCTGGAGCTGGTGCCCTGGATTCGAACTTCTACCCTCCTAAACTGTGAGAGAATAAACTTCTGTTTGTTAAAGCCATCCACTTATGGTGTTTCCGATATAGTAGAACTAGAAAACTAAGACATAGATTGGAAATTATACACTCTTATATCTATTCTATTAGTGGTTACCCTAAAAATTACAATACATATATATAATATTTATCAAAATCTAAATACTTTTGCGCTCTTCCTGTCTAATTGAAGGACTTTAGAATAATTTTCCTTTAATTCATAGCTTGAGTGATTTTTTTTTTTAAATAACACAGATGATTTGAATTTGAGCTGCAATTCTGGGAGGAATGGCTGATGGTTAAAACTTCCCAGGGCCTTGCTGTCCCCAGTGAGTACCGGGTGGGGCTGTTGTACTTCTGGTTGTCACTTACACTGAGATGTATCTCTTGGTATCCCAGACTAATGGGAATCCCCGTGTTAGACTCTTGGCCTTGGGATTTGCTAGGATTTGTCTTTTGTCCTGCAGTCTTTTCAAGGCCAAAGAAACTGTAGCTTAAGTTCACTAGGTTCATCAATTGTTCACAGGGGAAAAAGCAGCTTTGATGTTTCTGCTCACATCCTCATGTTCCCACCCTTACTTTGATTTTGGCCTGATAATTCGATACCATCTTATCCAATCTTTGATGCTTTTAGAAGATTGTTTTAATGTTTTTCTTTTCATTTATCTAAGCTTTTTAGTTTTCAGCAGATGAACTTCTCCAAATAATTGTCATATTAATGGAAGTGAACCATAAGCCAATTTGTTTTTATATTATTTTTATTAACACAAAGTCCATTTCTCCCAGTTCCTACTAAGTAAATGCTAAACAAAATTTTAAAGCATTAATAACTGGGATACCCAGCTACTAGTTTTGCAAATCCCTAACACCTAAGATATATAATCCAGAGATCTTAGTCTGTCACTCAAGTAACTCAAAGAGCTGCTTCCCGATTAGTATTCCAATCTCTTTTCACATTATTCTCTTTACTTGTACTTACATATTTTAACCTACTTTTTTCCATTAATATGGCCTGGTGAAACTAGAATATTCTTAAATCCTCACACATTTGGGATAGCTATTTTATCACCATTATACAGAAGTCAAATTTACTTCATAGTTTAAAATGCATTCAAAGCTGCAGCCAATTAAGTGAGGAAACCATACCTCAAACCAAAGTCTACAAAGATCAAGTCTGCACTTACTTTCCAGTATCATGAAGCCTCATCCAGGAACATTTACACAGCATAGATGGAGCCTGGTGACTACTCTACTCAGAAAACCACCTAGTCCACAGTGTATTGGTGAGAAAGCCTAGAAAACATTCAGGGAAAGGTGAAGTTATGTATGGTATCTATGGACAAAGGAGAAATAACGGATAAGTTAGGTCAGGCAAAAAAAATTTGGTATTTATCGAATATTAAAGTATGAAGGAAATCTAACCTACATGATGGTGTAGTTAACAAAATAAACACTCAGAAATAAGTATTAGGAAAGCGCACTGTAAATTATAGAGTGGATATAAATATTGGTATCACCAATAGTCACAACGTTTGTACTCGTCCAGAAAGTCCTCTCCCGAACCTTGAGCCCATATTAGCCCCTTTCAAAGTGAAGATAAAGTTCAAATTTTTACAAGCAAGTTAACATTTTTATCTTCCAGCAAAAAATTAATTAATGCATACACTCCTTCTATGAGTAAAAAATTTACATAGAAAACTATTGCCCATGTATGGTGACCAGGCAGGTCCAAAGATAATGTTGTTGATATTAGCTGCCATGGATTTGAACTTGACTCCTGTCCCCCATGCAATGGAACCAAATACTGCCCAGTCCTGCTGCCCAGTCCTGCACCCTCCCCATAATGCATTGTGGGGCAGACCATTGTGATCCATAGGGTTTTCACTGGCTGATTTTCAGAAGTACATCTTCAGGCCTTACTTTCTAGTCCATCTTAGTCTGGAAGCTCCACTGAAACCTCTTCAGCATCATAGAAACACACCGGCCTACACTGACAGGTGGTGGCTGAGCATGAAGTGCATTGGTTAGGAATTGAACCTGGGTGTCCTGCATGGAAAGCAGGAATTCTACCACTGAACCACCACTGCCCCATGGTATTGCCCCAAAAGATATTATATGAAGCTAAACATTACACTGATAGAATTTGCCAGTCTGTCTCTGGCTAGAACATGAGCTGGATGCAAGGAAGGGCTGTGACTTTTTTAATCTTCATATCTTCTGTATCTTGAATAATGCTTACATAATCCATGCCAATAAAAGTTGATTAAATAAAAATATAAATGCATTAAACTGAGATATAAGAGAAATACATGGCAAAATTAAAATCACATAGAACACCATGAGTATGCTGAAGATTTACTTGGAGACATCTTTGTATGCCTTCCTTTTTCAAAGTCACTTTTCCATGTGAATCAGAATGAATATTGTATTGGGATAAGATTAAAAGCTGAATGTGTGATTTTTAAAAGCATCATTACACACTTGTATTTGTCCTTTAATGTAAGAGTGTAAGATAGCCAAGTTATGTTTGAATATTAATGATGTTCGCATACAAATGCTTTCAAATGCCCTCTTCCGAACAAAATTTAGCCAAATCACTACATATGCTTGTAGATTTATTCAGTGTTTGTTTTTAATTTCATAAAGAAATGAACATAGCCAGTATTGAGGTATTAATTACAGTCCGTGACAACCTGAGGGATGTTTTACAATGATTATGTTTTATCTCATCGTTAAGTACAATCCAAACTGTGCAAATAATCAACAGAATATTGGCTCCACCTACTTGCTTCAAACTTCAGAACTCACCACCTTCATATCGCCAACAAATGTGAAGTACCTAAAAGGTTTTTCAGGCATGGGGATAAGGAGGAACTGGGGAGAATGTGTTCCTCACAACAATTATATGTTACTATTTTTAAAACATTTTTACATATGAAGACACAGATGCAAGGAGAGATCAAGTAACATGGCCAACACACACCACTAAGAGATGGCGGCAAGTCCATTTGCCCAGCGCTCATGCTCCTAACCTCTACAATTTCTTTGATTCTGAGGCACAAAATGAAAACAAATAAACAAAAACTTGAGTTCTTCTGCCTGTATAGAATTAGAAGTGAGATTTATCCATAGGTTTATGATAGGCAGGCCTCCAACTAGTGATTAAAGATTTAGGTTGAATGTTTCTTCACATTTTCCACAATCACAACTGTGCTATAAAAATCTCCTTCTGTCAATGCTTCACATTATGTCAATTTTCTTTCTTACTATTTACACTACCTTGAAAGCATAACAGTGATTTGAAAGAACAATTAAATAATTTATAGGCCAATTTATATCATGGCATTTATAAAATAAGTCAACAACAATAAAACGATTTTCTTTAATGTAAAGTCAATAACCGTAAAGGAAATGGGAAAAACTAAAATGTCAGTAGTCCATGGAAGAGGGACAACCTGCTTTCTCTGTAATTGACACATACTAAGTATCTTATAGAACAGAAAAGTCTATAAAATAATTGAGAGTATTTAGTGGAAATGTGATTGAGTTGACTTAAAAGCTTAACATAATAGTTCACTTAGGGTATTAGCGCATATTGCTACCATTTGTATTTACCTTTGAAATAAGTATATACCGACAAAGCATTCTATTGCATGTAGCTAAAACTTATGTTTGTCTTTGAAATAGAATACTTCTCACTAAACACACAGTTTATTGAGAGCCAAAGATACTCCCAGCTTTACTCAGGCAAACTAGACACATAAAACTGCAATGATCTCATTTATTTTATAATTTCCTACTGCAAGAAAAAAGGGCTGTCCAACAATTATCAGAAATTCATAGACGGTCTTGAATTCCAAAGTTAATTTGCCATATAATTATGTGCCACAGGCATTGTGCTAGGAAGTAGCATAGCTCAGACATAGAGGATATGAGACAGATTAATAGCAAAAAAAAAAAACAAATTGTGGATGGGGCCAGGCAGCAGAAGGTACGAAGAGATTGATTGTAATGTGATCTTCAACTTCAGTGTTTTTGTCATTCCCCACTTCCAAACTCAAAAAGAAAAAAAAAAAAGAAATAGCCAGAGCAATCTTGTGCCCCACCCCACCCCCTGCTCCCTCCTCCTCCATCTGCTGCACAGAACACTACCCAGGTCACAACAGAGAACGTGCTATCAGGAAAACAGTAGCTGCAGGCAACTCATGGAAGTAGAGAAAATCATGTTATCAATTGCACTGATCTTCATATTAGTAAATTAGACATGGCTGTAGTTAATACCACTGATAGAGATGCACTTAATGTGCATATTTCAGTAATTGCAGATGTAAAAACTATTAAATTATTGCACCAACCATTTTAGTTTTGATACAAGAAAATCTCCTTGCTGTTACAGGCTGACTTGGAATTTAGACCAATATAGGAGCCTAGGTGGCCCAAGCGGTTTGTGATCAGCTGCTAACTGGAAAGTTGGTTACCCTGCGGCTCCGCGGAAGAAAAAGCCTGGTGATCTGCTTCTGTAAAGATTGCAGCCAAGAAAAACCCATGGAGCAATTCTACTCTGTAATATATAGGGTCACCATAAGTCGGGGGCCGACTCAACCGCAGCTAACAACAGTAGGGTACAGAAATAGACTAGAAAGTGGCAATGGAACCAGAAAAGAAACAATAATATAGACATGAAGGCAGAGATCATTTTTCTATCCATACCTGGCCATGGATTTTACTAAAAGAATAAAAATATAATGAAAATCCATCTTAGTATTTGTTTTAGGTTTTAAATTAATTATTTGGCAAATTAGATCAAAAGTCTTAGCACCTGTGGATTTATGATAAATAGTTGCAGGTGCAGCTTCCAAACATTCATGACATATAGCAATGTGCAATTTTTTAGAGAAATAAAATTTTAGTAAAGCTAATGTCCAGTATAAAATTCACTATGAGATGGTGCTTGGGATGTGAGTTATCTGTGAGTTAATTGTATAATTTCATATGCATTATCTTATTTTATCCTCATCCCTCTAGATGGTGAGTTACTATTCTTTCCATTTTACAGATGAGGAAACAGGTTCTCTGGGCAACATGCTCCAAGTCACTGAGCTAGTTAGTAAATACTGAATCTGGAATCTAGACCAAGGACTTTCCAATTCTAAATGTATGCTCTTTCTGACTGCTTTTCTTTGTAAACTTTTTTTTTTCACTTTGTTTTTTAAACAACTTCTGAAGGTAATTAAGAAAAAGGGGAAAAAATGATAATTACAGCATTGGACGGATAAATGCACAGCCTCCAAAAGTGACTCCATTAAATTATGTTTCATTGAATGTACAAGATTTTAGATTTCTTTTTAGACATACTTTCTTTATTCTGGTTGTAGTCTTTCATCAAAGAAACTAGTACACCACACATCACATTTTTATTGCCCCCTCCTCAAGACAGATTAATAAATTTGTAGTCTTTCAAAAAGACTGTTCAAAACTCAGTCAGAACTGTGTTCTTATTGATTTGTCTCTAGCAAAGATTTTCTGATTCGACTTTGTGACAAGGATGCATGTATCTGGCGACTGGCAGTAGAAATCCATCTAAGAAATCCATCAGAGAGCACTCTTTTGCCTACAAGCATTTTCTATCTGTGGTTGTCTAATTACTCTGACATATAACTCATCTGCATAGATTATGCATAACAGGAAATCAAAACAATGTCAAAGTGAGAGAAACAGCTTGCAAAATATTGGGCCACCGGTCCCTCATTGTAGTAAATTACATTTCCACCATACACCCTTTTTATCTTTATCATGACAGCAAATGTTTTAGGTTACTTTTGGCTTTGTGCATATGTAATAAGATGGGGAAAATCTTATCACATACATATGCTCTGTGTGTATGTGTATGTTTGTGTGTGTGTGTGTGTGTGTGTGTGTGTGTGTGTGTGTGAGGAAAATCGCATCACACTAAGTCAGCGATTCCTTTTATAATTTCAATATATAAGATAAATTTGGTGTTTGAAACATTTCTCCTCATTTCATCCTGACAAACATCCGCTCTCCAAAAAGTTTATTAGCTTTATAGTCTCTCATCTCATAGTAAAATATTATATTAATACATAAATGTACATTTCTGTTACACCTTCAGTGACTTATGTGTCCTCTGTATACCCTAGGTGTGGGAAGTTATCACAAAATTTTGTATTTGATAGGATGCTTTTACAATAAGTTCCTGTTCCCCGGACATTGCATATGAAGCCTTATACCTGGAATGCTTATCCCACCCTGGGGATTGTTAAAATTGTCTTGAAAGACTCAGCTTAAATATTAGCTTTTTATGAGTCTCTCCCATATCCCCCACTATCTGGCCAGGTGGATATATTCTCTACTTTCCAATAATACTTCTAATAGTGCATTCATCACACTGGGTTGTATTTTCATAAATAAATGGTGATAGTAGCAACACCCTCCTGGTCGTATTCAGATGGATAAAGATGGTGAAACCCAGGTAAGATGCATATAAGACACTCCATAAAGCCCAGTTTTCCACGTGGGATAGTGGACTGTCATGGAGGCCAAGCAGCAGCCTCCATGACCTAGATGCTGATATCCCTTCTCTCTATTATTTATCCTAGGCAGACACTCCCTCAAGCAGAGAGATTTAACAGGCTGAGCCTGGAAACAAAGGGGAGAGAGCAGCAGTGCGGAGAGAACCACATCTCTTGTCTACTCACAGTGCTCTCGGACTACAGGCCTTGGGTTCATGTCTCCCAGCCTCCCACTTGAAAGACCTAGTGCTAGGACACTCCAAATGCCTTGATGAAATAGAAATAAATTTAAACAGCCATTTCTAAATTGTTATTGAAAACAATAAAATCTCTGCTGGGAACTGGCCAGAATAGAGAATGAGGATTTTGATTTCTCCTGAGTTAGTCTAGTTTAAGATTTTATTGTTTTGCTGATAAGTCTCTTTTATGAAAGGCAATCAGGTTGCCAGGTTAGGTATTAAACTATCTAAAGCGATGAATTATATAAACAAGCAAAGCCCCAAGGGTTGTAGACTTTATCACTCCTAGGTATGTGAATATTTGAATGTTCACTTTTAATTTAGAAAAGTTCAACACCTTTTTTGCTGTTTCTGCCGCTTTCATCGATACATTTCACTGTTTTTCCTTGATGGAAAGTAAGCTGCATTTTAGTTAAAAGAGTTCACACATGATCAACAGCAGGCTTGCCAGAATCAGACTAAGAGAAGATAAAATGCTTATGCTTTGATAACGATTAGCAGTTTATTTTAGAGTTCTAATCACGAAAACTGAGAATAATTGTTTGTTTTCTAATTTCTGAATAAATCAATTATTCTAGAAGTTTTATTTTTTGTTCCAGTACTCAAGAGTGAAAAATTCTACTTATATAAATTTTTTATGAGAACTTGAAAATAGGAGATCTCATGCCCATCAGGTTTTATCCTGGGAACCTGGTAACTATTAGTATTATAAAAAGTTAAATCTAAATATCCAATAAATCCTCAAGAGAAAACTTTACTTGCTGCTTCTTATACTTGGATGTCCAATACACCGACCGATAGTTTCATTTTAGGTAGATTAAAGACCAAAATGTGAAAGGTAACACACTCTCACAAATTTTTAAAATTCATAAACATGCTTTAAAAATATTTATTATTCCATTATAAATACAATGTCCATTTACATAATTTTCCATAATTGTCTTCAGTAAAAAAATCACATATAAATATCAGTAATAATGAGAGATATATCTCAGAAACAAACAGCTCCCTCATTTCTGACGCTTTTTCAACTACATAACAAACTAAATAAAGTGCAGGTCCCTTTGAAACGTGGAGAGTCTTCCAAGGGTAAGAATTTGACTACACTTAATGTAAAGAAATCAAAAGTCTTCATATAATAAAATGCCAGTCAGTTCTGAGAATACTGAATGAACTGTTTGTCCTACCACAGGGAATTGTTTGAAATGATGAATAATAACTGGGGCCAATGGACTTCTTACCAGAAATGTTTATCCTTAAACAGAAATGATACTCGAAAAGTTGCATAGGTGATTGACCTTTGTACTCTTACAGTGGAAGATATTTTAAAAATTTAGCAATAATTTAGAAGATTGGGTCAGCAGGTATTTTACCCATTCATGGCTAAAGCTCCTTTCTTCTGCAGACAACTGAAGAGTGTTACA